AATCCCACCACTCCACCACAGAGTCACCGCAGTAGACGTTAGATGAGCGCTGTCGCTCTGCGGCACTTGTTTTGTATGTGTGTCTTAAATAGATCAATATTTTAGGCCGTGTTACACATTTGTGGCCGTACAGTTTCAAAACTGACCATGCAAATCAAGGCTGCACGGCTCGCTGGCTAATACGTTGCAGCCACATATCAGCATACCCTTGTGTTGTAATGAAATTGTAAAGTAGCCGTTAAAATCGAAGAAACCATCAAGTCATTACAGTTTTATCGCTTTGAAGCAGTTAAATGCCCCAAGCTTGTGAAACTGCATTTTTAGCTCAGCTGACGAAGTCAGATGCAGCTGGTAGAATCGCATGATTGTCCGTGCGTGCGTGCGTGCGTCAACAGTTGGGCACAAATCTTAACTGCTCGACGTACGGTCTTGATATTCAGGACGTGGGGGGGGGGATCGCGAAAAAGACTCGGTATGTTGAATTTGGGGGTTAAGGGTCAAAGGTCAAGGTGTGTCAATGGAGGGGGAATATTTCCCCCTTAACTTAAAGGACAATTGAAGTCAAATTTTCTAACTTCTGTAACGTTTTTATATATAGAAATACATTCAATAACGTATTCCATTTCAAATCCGGTGCCCAATTAGTAATAAACACCTGAATTGAGCGACACCATTATGTAAACATAGTGCGTGCGGTGGTTAAATATTCGATGTTTTTTGTTATTTCTCATGCTTATTTATTATTTCAAGACACAAACATGTAGCCTGTAAATGTACTTATATTCATGTACATACATATTACCAAGCTGAGCGTGATAAGCTCGGTGATCAGTGTACTCGCATGACTCACCTGGTCTAGCGTCGAACTGGTCTACAATAACCCTGGTCTTCTCATTCTCATGGCAGCATATATACATTCAGGTGTCGTACTCATTAATTCACAAACACCTCAAGAACACCAGTATTTGTCTACAGTCCTATCGGGTACCGAAGCTTCCATTCCGCCATGTTGTGACTGTTCTGATTCTTGAGAGGTTTCTGCCGACTCTTCGCGTTGCTTTTTCAGACGATTCTCTTCAATTTCTTCTTGTGTATATTCAGGCTCAAACCTATATCCAACTGGTAAATCACTATAAATATCATCATCACCTGCGTAATCACTAGAATCATTGAAATTATCGCTTTCTGTTTCCATCTTATACACAACAGTGCACTCAACTTGCGTTAGCGTGGCGTCGCTCAACTTGGGGCCGTGACGGCACATGACCTAGATTACTATTCATGTGTTTATTACTAATTGGGCGCCGGATTTGAAATGGAATACGTTATTGAATGTATTTCTATGTATAAAAACGTTACAGAAGTTAGAAAATTTGACTTCAATTGTCCTTTAAGATATAGAAGGAAATAGGGAATTGCAGCACAAATCTCAACGGCTCGACCTACACTCTTAATATTTGATGTATAGTGTGATGGGGAGGAAACCCATCACCAGTGCGAAATTTGAGGTCACAGGTCAAAGGGCAGAGGGCGAAAGGTCAGATATCAGACATTCCCGCGGTGGCAGGAGGGCGCACTTGATTCGGTTGCCAGTGAGTTTATCAGAAGAATACCTGGCTACAGTACACGTCAGTTGAGCGCTGTCGCTTTGCGGCACTTGTTACATCAATATTGCAAAGGTCATGTTTCATTAGGTATAAGTTAAACAGAGGTTTACTCCACCTGCAAGTGTTAAGCCGAGAAACAAGAAAATGTGAGAATTTAGCTTCTGCTTGGTAATAATTACGATAGCACGATTGGTAATAATCATGCATTGCTACTTCTTTGACTAAGGTCTCCTGAGATAGCCGATTTAAAACTTTGTTCATCATACATCTCTATCGCCACTATTTGTTTTGTAGGTGGTCCGACGCGTGAAGAGACGGAAGCAATCACGCAGCTTTGGCACACAAGTCTGTTCAATGCAAACTATGAGAGCCAAAGGTAGTGTCTATATTTTAAAGAATTGTTTGTAGAACTAAGCCGGTCCCATGTTTGCACGTAGATACACTGTGTAATATAATGAGAGGCAGGGCTTTCATGTCTCATGTTTGTGCAAGTCAATGCTAGAAGTCACCCTTTGATCAGGTGTGGCACATGTTAAATAGAGACTACATTTAAATGTTAAATAGAGTTTTTTCTGATAAAACCTCAATATCCTTTATTACTCTTGCACCCTTACACATTGTAACTCATGCATTATTTGATGGAGTGCAGTCGGTGTGCTAGAGGTGTATGTGTTATGCCGTGATGTGATAGTTGAGGAAGGAACTGGTATTATAGGACTACACTTGCACTGTACGTTTGAGAATTTTTGGTGCCAAATATTGATTAAAAGATAAAAAATGTAACCGCGAATGCTACCGTGAATATTGTATATATATATAAATGTTGTCATGAATGAATGAATGAATGACCATCTCAATGGTTGCACTTTCTAGACATAAACCCTGAAGCAGAATGACAAAACATTTTGTTCCTGTAATAAGTATCTAAGTATAGAAGTACAGTTAATAATTGACTCTTTAAAAAAGTTCTTTGTGAGAGCACAATTTAAGTAGGAAGACACCTTTACTCTACATCTCTTTCTCCAGGTTTGTGGTAGATGACAACAGAGTGATTTTCATGCTTAAGGATGGCTCAAAAGCTTGGGATATCAAGAACTTTCTAGTCACTCAGGATAGGTGTGAAGAAGTTACAATTGAACAACAGATCTATTATGGCAAAGCTTCCCCACTCTACAAGGTCCGTAAATGTAGATTTATATTTCCAGTAAATACATATATATGAGTGAACACCTGCCTAATCTAAAAGGATTGTTTAAAAAATAATAGTACAGTACGTCAAAATAATAATGAAGTAACCAAACAATAAATTAGGTGGTCCCTAAAACTGCTGCCATCTTTGTTTTCATAGGTTCAGCAGAAGGAAAAACGTCCCGATATTAGAGGTAAAGAGGAGTTTGCAAAAATACTGAAGGAACAGGAGACAGACGAAGAGCCAGCCGAAGAGCCAGTTGAAGAAATATCAAAAAAGGAGAAATATGAAAAAGACCGGCTACAACAGAAAACAGAGGTAAACAGGCTGAAAGAACAAAAGATAGAAATTGAGACCAAACTCAAAGAGCTACAAAAGCAGTCTCAGAAACAAAGCAGTACACCCGAACATACAGATAAAAGTCCCGATAGCATAGATATCGAGAACAATATAGAAAGGCTGAGGGATGAAAAAATTAAAGCTGATGAGGCATTGAATGAAATGAAAGAGCAAATGAAGAAGAGCAAGCAAGAGCAGAAAGAGTTTATTATGAATGCGATGGACCAGAAGCAAAAGCAAGCGGAAAGCATTAGAGTAATTAAGGAGGCCAATGCCAAGGAAAATGAAAAGAGACAAAATGCAAAAAAAACAGAGCTGTAGGGCACGTGTAAAATGTAGGGAAATGAATGCCTTTGCTTTTTTACATAGTTTTTGTACATGTTGCAGCTATCCTATTTCGCTTCATTCTAGTTAATTAGGTAATATTACCTAAATTTCATAAAAGTTGTTTAAATAATTTTTTCTTCAACACTGACAGATATTTGTTAACAATAACAACTGTTATAACTGGAAAAAATTTATTATATTTTGAAATAAAAATGATATTATATAATATTTTGATACACTTGTGCTGTTTATAACACTACAAGGTTCTCTATCTACACCCAGCTACACCACGCCCCACACAATTGATTAAATCAGGCACATGTTACAATCGACACAACTGCACATCATGGCGGTGGGAGCACTCTCTGTACAAGGCTACATATTCTTTCTTTTCTTTTTTATATTAATTTTCGAAAGTCACAATCTCTAATGTATAAACCTTTTTACATGTGTAAGTATGGTACAAAAGCAAACTGCTTGTTAAAATTCTCAAGAATATGTAACCTTTGGCATGTTGTAACACATATACACATTTGAAGACCTTGCCTGAATGTATCATTTGGCAACCACGACAATGGATCAACATTACAGGCAGGGGTTCACAATATTATTTCAAACATACACTCAACAAACACTAAATTAATTGTTCCCCTGTTCACTTGTGCTTTTCTTCAGCTGGCATGTTCATTTGTTGTAAACCATACCAGCTTGCCCGCATTATGCACATTCTGAACAGGTACATATAATCAGGTCCTGTGGCTCCCACCCAGTTTTCACGCTAATATTTATAGATACATGATACACAATTGAACATCGATAACAGATGAGACATACCGATTGAACGGTTACATAACTAAATGTACATACAATGTGACACAGGCATGCATTGTATGTTCGAGGGACCTCAACTTTAACGTTACATATTATCTGGTACTGCATTCAATGTCCGATTGTGAATTGCCAAACCCCTTTTCATCATGCATAAATGAACGACTTTGCCGCTAGTTTGTTTAACAACCACGTTTCTCATCATATTCTTAATATAATGCAGATAGCCAAGTGGGTTGAAATCACATCACAGAAGCATGGGAAAACACACAGGTTGATAGTCGAATTATCAGTGCTTAGGGAGAAAAGTATGCCAAATACTTCATTACAATCATGGACATAGACGCACGCGCACGCACGCACACAGACAGACACAAGAAGAGAAAACATTAGCAGTATACGGGAAACAGTAGCAGTGCCTGATGCTCTATTTTCGGTATAAGAAATTTTCTTGGTAAATCCATATAAACTGGTGTAATACAAAGTATACATCTAACCAGATAGTTGCGAGTTCCCACATACCACGTTCATACCACGGCACCGATGTACCATTTCGATCAACCAAATCATACATGGCAACAAGAACGCTAGTTCCAGGCTGCAGCTGGCAAGTCAACGAACACTGGGTGTGAAAACAAGGCAGCTCAATCTTCATGCAGCTTTATCAAAGTCCATGGTTTGTACAAACAAGGTATGCGGAAGACAGCAACCGTATTGCTAGATGAATGCATGGTTACACCTTTATTTGTGCTTGCTTGACTTGTGCATAAATAAGTGATATGATAATATTACACCTTGTTTCTTCATCATTTGATAGTGAATCGATTAAAACAACAAATATATACACAACATATGAGACATGTACAGTATGTAAGAGGCACATGATCACTATAGTAATAAGTAGAGTACATCATATAAATGAGGCAAATTTGATTTAAACACAAGATGTTGTTACTATGGTATTTTTCACGAAACACTTTAAACCATTGGCATTATTGAAATTGTAGCTGTTGGCTTGATATGGAATGTCAGGACTGCGTACAAAAACTACTTGAGAAATGCAAGCCCACGCACAAACACACAATACACGTTTAATATGTACAAATGAGTTTGGTACCCTCAGACACTCAACACACGCACATGCAGACACATGCAGACTAACCTCCAGTTGGCGTCGTGCTGACATGCAGAAACTGCAACAACCAATTGACCACTTATGACGTGGTAATAAATAACATTTGAAGGGAAGGGAAACACTACTGAGAGCGCCAGTTCACACTACATGTATGCCTGCAACATTATTAATGCAGATCACTACACTAACAGCCTACAACAGCACACAGAAAGAAATTTACACAGCAAACTATTTACAACCACCATACTTGAATAATACAAGATGTACACGGCTCTGAACATCAAATTTATAGATTGCAATGATGAGGTGACATATATACAGTGTTATAGTGTATATATAATAGCATCACACCCTTCTCAACAAGCGACACTTTTCTCGCTTGCATTATTACATGTGTGTCTACTGTCTAGTATACTAATTTAATGTCGCATTAGCCACTTTATAACGAGGCCCTTGTATTTATTAGTGACCCTTTTAGCACTTGTATGCTTCAGAAACCCTAACGACACTTCTCTCACTGCAGTGTGAGAGTGAAGTGGTGCTAAGGGTGGGAGGAAATCCACGAACCTGACAATTTCAACCTGGCCCCAGATTTATTTACATGGCGAAACGGCAACGCACGACGCTGCGCATTTTCTCGTGCCATCGTTACCGCCCGCCGAATACTCGATAGGTGGGCCATCAATTCGGTCTTCCGAACGGGAACCTGGGCCGACGTGACCCGCACCGACCTTCCTTCGACCCCCCACGCGTTCACGCTGTGAGCAACGCCGCATACGAAGCACTGCTAGCCAACGTGCCCGTATCACGCGACAGCCGCGGGCCGCGAGGTAAGGACTCGGCGTGCGACGAGGATGTCCTCGTACATACCTGCCAAGACCCCCCCCCACCACCACCCTGGTCAAGCACCCACTCAGTTTCCTGGAGAACGCACGCCCCACGAGACATCCCCGGCTCCCGACCCGCCGCCGCGCCCGGTTCCTGGGATTCGGGTTTTCACGCATTCATTATGACGTCGGTGGCTGCTGCTGCTGCTGCTGCTGCTGCGGCGGCGGCGGCGGTGGCTGGTGCGGGGGCAGCTCGACCGAGTAGCGCGTGTACTTGTGGTAGGGTGACTCGTCAGCGTCGTCGCGCACGGTGCACACTGTCTTGCCGGCGAGGCCGTCGATGCGGCCGGCGAGCCAGGAAGTCGTCGCCGCGTCCTGCTCCTTGGCTACGTTGCTCGTCAGCCACGTCTTGTGCCACCTGGTGAAGTTGTTGTACAGGTGCGTCGAGACCTTCTTGTGGCTCTGTCGTCGAAAAAAAACCAAGAGAGATAAGTAACGATAACAAACAATAACAACATAAACAAACAAAGTCGTGATGCTCGGCAGAGAGTGAAAAATAGCCACATGACTACGTGACGGTTTTTCATCAATTCGACCGACTCTTATCGCGAAACAAATTTCCCCGGTGGCACGTTTGTTATTATCGCGCACGAACCTTACGAACGCGACAAGATGTTGCCACGGCGACACTCACCAGGCGAGCCTTTCTGAGCGCGTTCTTCTTGTACAGGTAGTTCTCCGACTTGACGACGAACAACATCTTGCAGGAGTTGAGGTTGAAGCGGCACTCCGCGTTGTCGGAGATCTCCATGTCCTCCGCGACGTCCTTCTCCTGCTTCGCGGACTCGTTCTCGGCAGGGTTCTCCTCCTCCTCCTCCTCCTCCACCTCCTCTACGCCGGCTCCCTCGCTGCGTTGAGCCTCTGCAGCATCGGGCTTCTCTGTTTTCGCGTCGTCGTCGTTGTTATTTCGCACGACTTGCCGCCATTGTCTGATGTTCCTGCAGAACGAAGATCAACATCACGCGATCGAACCTCTCCCGACAGAGCAGCCGACTGACGCGAATGAAATCTCGTATATCTAGAACTGTACGACTACGCGTATTCCAGTTTCGTACGCCGAAGACGATTTCCGCATTGAAATTTACGCCCTGTCAGTTTGCGCGCGTCTGTTTTCCTAATAAATCAAAGTGAACTTCACTGGGAAATCATCGTCAATCAGGAAAACGAACACGCAATGACGAAAATGTCTTCGCAAATCCACAGCCACTGTTCAAAATACTAACACAAGAAAACTATTGAATATCTTTACGACGATTTTCTCTACATTCCAATATGACACGTCCAAACATGCTAACAGCTCAAGCCTAATCACACCTAAACTCAGGTGTGCACTGCCGTCCCGCGCATATCCGCTTAAGTGACCAACTAGCTTCTCTTCTTGTAGCTGGCTACTGTCGGGCTGTGCAGCATGGCATACGATGTACTCTGTATACATTATTACGAGACGCAATCCTTAACAGCCACGCTGCGCGACTGCCGCAAACTGCACAAGCATGAGCCTACCTGGGCAGGACACTGGCTTCTCGCCGAGCATGAGCCTAAGCCTGGGGAGGAAGCCTGGCTTCTTTCAGAGCATGATGCCTAACCTGGGGCAGGAACACTGGATTATTCGGAGCAGAGCCTACATGGGCAGGAACACTGGCTGTCTTTTTGGAGCATGAGCTACCTGGGCAGGAGCACATGGCTTCTTCGGCGAGATGAGCCTACCTGGGCAGGAAGACACTGGTTCTCTTCGCGAGCATGCGCCTACTGGGCAAGAGCAGTGGCTCTTCGCGATAATGATACCTGGGCGGACACTGCTTCTTCTTCGGGAGCTGAGCCTACTGGGATAGGACGAACTGGCTCTTTGCGAGCATGAGCTTACCTGGGGAGGGAAGCACTGGCTTCTTTACGCCGAGCCATGAAGCTACCTTTGGGCAGGAACACTGGATTCTTGGCAGCGAGCATGAGCTACTGGGCAAGCACACTGGCTTCTTCAGCATGAGCCTATACCTGGGCAGGAATACTGGCTTCTTCGGCGAGCATGAGCCTACCTGGCAGGAAACTGGCTTGCTTTCGCGAGCATGAGGCTACGTGGGCAGAACACTCGGTTGCTTTCACGGAGCAGAGCCTACTGGGCAGGAACAACTGGCTTCTTCAAGCTGACGCTCCGGGCAGGAATACTGAGGCTTCTTTCGCGAGCATGAGCCTACCTGGGCAGGAACACTGGCTTCTTCGCGAGCATGAGCCTACCTGGGCAGGAACACTGGCTTCTTCGCGAGCATGAGCCTACCTGGGCAGGAACACTGGCTTCTTCACGAGCATGAGCCTACCTGGGCAAGAACACTGGCTTCTTCGCGAGCATCTCCTTGAGCTCCTCGGATATCTCCTCGCCGTCGTTGGACGTGTACTTGTCGACGTACTCGGACCACTTTTCGACCTCGACGGCGTCGTCCGACGCCTCCGTGTCCGTGTCGAGCAGCTCCACGGTGATGCGGCCGTCGTTCTTGTACTGCACAGGTAAAACGGTGGACACCAGTCAGATGCAGACGGTCACCACAGATCCAGTACAATTCTACCTATCACATCTCTGTCTATCTATGGTCTATCACAGACCTAAACAAACGGTCACCACAATCAGACCGAGATGGTCACCGCAGTCAAACCCAGACAGTCACCCCACACCCAGTACAACTCGCTATCTATCACATCTCTATCATATCTTTATTTCTATCTAGATGGTCTAACACAGACCTAAACAAATGGTCACACAGTCGCTCCCGCTCCCGCTCCCGCTCCCGCTCCCGCTCCCGCTCCCGCTCCCGCTCCCGCTCCCGCTCCCGCCCCTCTCACCAGGTATATCTTGAAGCAATTTTCGTCGGCGAGCGCCTGCTCGGCACGCTTCTGGTAGGCGGCCTCGGCCGGCAGGCGCTGGTGCTGCGTCGACAGGTAGCCTCCCGTCGCCGCGTTCTTACGCTCCTCCTGGAACATCTCCGTCATCTGCACGCCGGTCTCGTCGACGACGAGATGCTGCAGCTGCGGCGATAGAGAGAGACGATGTTTTCGTGATTAACCCTACTCTTAGCGAGCGGCAGGACAACCCCACCCCGCTCCGACACCTTACTTGAATTGCTGCAGCTGCCGTGGGGTACACAATATATACAACACCCTAGTGATCCAGCTCAAGTTAGTCCACAACGTGCCATGAGAGAGACGGCGACGCGCACGGTTGTTAGCACAGCCGACAGACTTCGAACTCGAACTCGTTAATTAACTCTAATCTGCCCGAGTGGCAAGACGAGCCCGACTCCGCCGCCGTCCCGCCACCGATCCGAGATGTTGTTGTTAGGTCTAGGTCGATTGAGCTTAGGCTTTGATACGAACGACGAGTGACGTTTGTATGTGGTGCACGCCGATATGGATGTCGACTCGTTTTTAGGACGACTCATCGCGACCACGATTGGCTAGAACTGTTATGTCAGACACGCCAGGCGCACCGGTCAATTACCGGCATAGCACGCACGCAGACTACAGTCACGTGACCATGCCGAGTGGAAATTGGTAATTTACTGTGAATACATCGGTTATCTGAATTGCTGCAGCTGCCGTCGGTTACGCAATAGATACGACATGCTAGTGATCCGATCCAGGTTTGTTCACAATGTGGCGCAAGTGTTACGAAAACATCACAAGCATTTACTTCGGCAATCTGAACCAAACCGAGAAACAGGGGGGTGTTAAACCCACAACTTGTGGGCACACACCCGCTACAACAGACGAACCACGTAACGAACGTCTACCGCGTAAAGAAACACGAATATAAATCTATTAGTGGTAATATACATGTGTAGTAAATTCGGGGGTGTGTGTACCTGTCGGACGATGTTCTGCACCAGCTTGTCGGCGGTGAAGGCGAGGTACGCGTGTATTCCGTACATCTCACGCAGCTGGTCCTCGTAGGCCGTCGGATCCAGGTTGCCGTCGAGTAAGTTCTTCACCATGTCCAGGAACACAGGATGATAATCCTCGACCTTGATTTCACCTGTGAGAAGAACAGATTTTTCTATTTATTTCACCTGACGAATGGAATTTTTTTTTCATTTATTTCACCTGGAGAAGAACAGATTTTTGTTATTTATTTCACCTGGAGAATGAAAGATTTTTGTTATTTATTTCACACGAAGAATGAAAGATTTTTCCATTTATTTCACCTGAAGAATGAAAGGTTTTTCTATTTATTTCACCTGAAGAATGAAAGGTTTTTCTATTTATTTCAAATGAAGAATGAAAGATTTTTCTATCTACTAGCCGTTCTGTATCTCGTGCTGATCAATTCATTGCTCCCCACCGGCGGGAATGCGTATCTCCGTTGCGGTAACTTTTCGGACGTCGGATAATTACGAAAACTTTTACTTTTACGAAAACTACAGATTTCACAACTAAATCGAGATCACATTGTTGTTAAGTTTGGGGTTTTACCGCGACTGGACGCTTCGCACGACACGCAAGCAGGGCTCGGCGACGAAACTACAGACATGACGGATAGCTCAGTACGGACACAACAGTCACGTGAGTAGGGAGGAGGATGCGCGTCACTCACTCGGCACTCGCAGTCGCAATGCCATCGCCGTCGACTCCTTGCGATCTTTCTTGTACTGACACTCCTCCTCTATGAATTGCTGGGCCCTCATGTACATCTTGTTAAGGCGATCACAGAGAATTTGATGTAACCGGAAGAACAAGTACCAGTTGTTGTTTCCGATAAACAGAGTGCAGATTTCACCCTGAAAAAAAATACGCACACGGTAATTAATTACTTTTTTGTCACACACAACCTTGGATTTTATGCCTGGAATCAGACGTTATTTTTTACAAGTATATTTTTTACTTCATTATCATTTTTTTCATACTTTACATCGAATTTATATTAATCGCGCAAAAATATAAATAAAAAAAAAACGCTAAATCACTGCACTGTCACATTACTGATAAATTCATGAAAAATCCAATGCATCGTAATGATCTATTGCATGTACAGAGATGAATCCAATTCGCTCGTGCATACGTCACGATGCACGGTTAGCCGACGCCGCACTCACGTTGTCCGACGGCACCGGTTCGCTGTCTTTTGCATTGCCGGACGTCGTGACTGCCTCGCTGTCACTGTCGCTCAGCCGGCTGTTTGTCCAGCTCTTCTCCTCGCCCGTCTTTTCCTCCTTCACGCCGCCTCCGCCACCACCACCGGGCTTGCTTCTCGTCGTCATGCCGTTGCCGTTGCTCCGCGTCGTTGGGCGTCCGCTGTGCTCTTCCGACTTCTCTTTCGATACCCTCTCGTCATCGTCTGAAGCGATCAGGAGATTAGGAGGATAACAACTACCGAAATCATACGATTACTGTGACACAAACCGCAGCTAACGTAGTAAAAAGTCGGGGGCTAATAAAGCTAGACCTAGACCGGCAAAATAAAACGAGTCTATTTGTACAAAAAAGACTAAGACGCAACCCTTCACGCGGCAGCAGCAGCAGTGCATGGACTATGCGTGCTTACTTAGCGTAGCATAGGCTTTCGCATCAATGCCAAAGAAAGTGTGTTTCCAAACGCAAAGCCAGTGAGTGCTGAAGCGACCTCGTGGCGCAGCTACCTATAGTGAGGCACTTACCGTCGTCTTTGTCGCCTTCGTCGTCTGACAGCTCTCCTCGTGCCACGTAGAACAAGTCTGGGATGAAGTGGTTCAACAGCTGCTTGATCTTGTACTTGTCTTCCTTGTGAATACCTGACATCAAACGTTCAAAGAACTTAAAATTCAAGTCCATAGAAATTTCCATTCGACTGATGTTACAACGTTGTTGTACGGTTCAAATCGGTATACATTCAGTGTTTCCCCTGCATTAACACGAGCGAGGCGGGCCGCCTCGCTTAAATTCTCAGCCGCCGCACAGAAATTTGTCCAAAACACCGCTCGATGACGAAAATCATTGTTCTTCCATAGAACAGTGCTTATAATGCACCAAAATAGCGTAGAATGCACCAAACTGCAAGAAATTCCAGGGGGAATGCCCCTGGACCACCCTAGCTGAGCGAGCACCTTCAGTGCTCGCTTTGCTAGGACCTCGCAACGCGCAAACGCACCAAGAAAATTTTACCACCTCACAAACTTTTTTTGGCCAGGGGAAACACTGTATATTCATTGTATTCAAAATGAAATTGAACTGACTACAATAAAGAAAAAGGGAAACGATGGACAATGTCTCTGTCACCGCTCCTCCCTGTTCCCTTCTTTACTGAATGGTAAGATAGCAAAGGGAAACCGAGACTTATCTACGTACTTGTCTGACGTTTCATGTGATGGATGATTAATGACGCAGAATCGTCAAGCATCGCCTTGTTCTCATACCGGATGGTCATGTGAGGACCCGTTAACAAGTCTTGGTTGATGCCGTCCTGTACATGCTCACTGCGCTGCAAAATATTGGGGTCCTGTTTTCGATAAAAAGAGAAAACAAGAAATGAACACAAATTCACCGAATAAAAATCAATACAAGATTCGCTTTTGATACACAAGCAAAAAGTATTCAAAACTGGGTTACTGCATTCCAACACAAGGTAATCTGTAACATCTGTTTTACAATTACACGGCAATTTACCTCGTCATAAATCGTTTCAATTTCGTTGAGTAAACTCTTTGAACGCAGGCTTTTCGTGTCGTTCTGTTTGTAGTTGATACCCTGGTGATCGAGGGATTTCAGATAAAACTTCTCATTCTGTTCGCGCCAAATCTTATTGAATTGCTTTTGAGCCTCTCTCCACTCTTCTTCCTTGGCTTTCAACCTGTGTTAAATGTTTAAACATATACATAAAATATAAATGCATCAAAACCCAATATAAAAACTCCAGAAAGAAACACCAAACTTGCACAAGAAGTTCTGCATGAACTGTTCAAAGTTCAAATGTCAAGAATAACCATAAAAATTATTGTTAAACAAGCTATTTACCTTCGCAACACTAAAGGCACGGCAACCACCGGGTTCTTTTTCAATCCATCGATGATATCTGGGGCTTTGTCCCCATATATTCTGCAAAAATCGGCATGAAATGATATTAGAATCTACGCACGAAAAGAATTTAGAGACAAGATCACCGACTGCATCATCTTCATTTAACATGTGTAGGGACAGTGAGTTTCCGTTTCAAAAAATCGCCTTTTCCAGTTGGGAAGATCATGAATTTCGTTTCAAAGTAAAGAAAAAATGGAAATTCGTGCATTGGTGATAAGTCAAGAAAGTAGAGATAACCTAATTCCATTGAGTTGCTGAAAATTTACAGGCTAAAATCCAAGTATATTCAGGCAGGCGACAATTTCGCTCAGCTGTGAGTAATAAATTAAACACATCTGCATTGCAGGTGTGCATGTTTATTAGAAAAGTGCCAGTTCACCCCCATGCATGAGTAATGGGTTGCCTCCGGGTTTTTGCCTACATTTCAGATGACGGTAGCCACGCGAGCGTTCAGGGTGCTATTAATATACAGACTGCTTTAGAAAATAATATGATTTAAGGAGTGTAAACCTTGTTCAACAAACTTCTGTCTTTGCAATTTAACTACAAATATAGTCTCACATCCACACAGGTATGGGCTCTAATAATAGCAAAAGCAGTTCAGTCCTTTGTTAACAGTCAACAAATCCATGTTGAACCCTCCCTTTCAGGGTCAAAATGTTATCAGACACTTACTCTTCGCGCGTCAATGGAAAGCACATTTCATTGTCCTTTCAATAGTGATAAAAATGGTAAGTCAGCGCTGAAACAAAAAAGTTTTTCACTCTGTCCATTAGGCCATGTCCTCAGAAAATGACCCTTTGAACTGTGACCTCCAATTCCGCACTGGTGATGGGTTTCCTGCCCATCACACTATACACCGAATATTAAGAGCACATGTTGAGCCGTTAAGATTTGTGCCGCAATTTCGCATTTCCTCCTATACCTTAAGGTAAGGAAGAAATATTCCCTCCGTTTACACATCTTGACCTTTGACCCCCAAATTGGTCATCCCGAGTCCTTTTCACGACCCCCCCCCCCCCGACGTCCCGAATATCGTGACCGTACGTCGAGCGGTTAAGATTTGTGCCCAACTGTTGACGAATGGACGCACGCACGCACGATCATGCGATTCTACAAGCTGCATCTGACTACGTCAGATGAGCTAAAAGCCATCCACACGAAACACAAAAGGGAAAAATGAACCGCCTTTCACGCCGAACCCCATACCGCTCTCGCGCACCACGCGCGACGCTCACCGCTGTATCGCACGCCGGTGGATGACCTCGGACGTGCCGCCGAGGCAGTTGTCGAGGCGATGCTTGGCGGCCTCCTCGGGCGACATGCGCGACAGCTTCTTTGCGACGCCCTCGAGCACGCGGATCGTCGCGAGGTTTGTCTCGAGGACGACGTCGAGCTCGAAGCGTTCGTCCTCGCAGCGGTAGATGTGCTCCTCGTAGACGTTCTTGCGCGACGTCACGAACTGCGAGTCCTCGGACCACGACGGGAACGACACCCACGTGTCGTTGAGCTCCTGCGGGGGAACGAAGGCAAGAGGGGGCATTGAAGAGCGAGAGAGAGAGATAGAGAATAGCGAGAGCCAGAAGAAGCGTTGAAGAGAATTCGGCGGCGTACGCATGCGCGACAGTCGTCACGACGTTTACGAGCTCACCATGAGATGCGCGCCGCACACGATACGTCGTATGTCACGACACTTACGCTACGATACGTATCATGACGATTATGCAACGATGAGACACAAAACGCGCACACAAATGAAAACGTCGTGTATCGCAACACTTGAGCTACAATACGATACGTAGCACAATAATTGCACTCACCTCCCTGCACAGAGCAGTCCTGCCACTGCAGCGTGGTTGCACGTAGCTTTTGGGCAAGGCGCGGTAGCTTGCTCCGTAGCGCTTGCAGGATGCATAATCTAACACAAGAGATAACGTGAAATCACCAGCTTTTCCTAAGAAATGCCCACCTACACATGAACTATACATCATTTGAACATTACGTAGAAAATTTAATTACGAGATGACCTAATTAACATTAGCATGCTTTTTAGCCTTTCCCCTAACGTTACGCACGATTCATTTGGAAATGTAGTTGCCTACATGTGTCTGCTAGACATAAACGTCTATAGGTAACATGCAGGACGTGCAAACATCATCCACAGTGCCTTGCCCAGAATCCCCATACCTATTTCCATGGCTAATTCTCCGATGGGCCGCTCTCGCTCCTTGTTTGCCGTGCCCATCGATATGGTATCAACCAGACTGCCGCTCTCTTTGTAGCCCAGAAAGTCTTTAAACCATTTAAACAATTCCGGGAACTTCCTGCAAGTGGGACGGCAAAACAATCATTCTCTCCAATTCAAAACTCACACATCGTGAAACTAAAACGTAGAAGTACCTACCAAGATCGTAACGCAAGGTTTGCAGTGTCAATTTGCAATAACCCGCCCAAAGCCTCAGCAACGTGGAAGCACACTGTCACATCACACTTTTTTCTATAAATATCTATTAAGATCGTAACGCAAGGTTTGGCGTTTGTCAATATGCGATACCCCGCCCACCACAATATCAGCAACGTAAAAGCACACAGTAGACACAGTTTAAAAAAAATCTATTAAGATCGTAACGCAAGGTTTGCCGTTTGTCGATTAGCGGTCCCGCTGCCCACACGACAGCATCAGCAACGTAGAAGCACGCAGCAGACCCTTCCGATCGTGCTCGCGCTCGAACGGGACCATGGAAGAAGATACGCCCGGGGGAACACAGTGCAGAAGCACGCAGCCGACCCTGCTGATCGCGCTCGTGCTCGAACAGGGCGGAAGAAGAAACGCCCGGTGATACATGGCCGACCGAGGCCAGCACGCTCGCTTACCCTAGGAACGGCGTGACGAGCTGCACGAGCTCGACGCGCGACACCACCTCCTGGTTGAACAGCGTCAGGCAGCGCAGGAAGTTCTCGTAGACATCCTGGCTGCGCAGCGCCTTGCGCACCTTGTCGAAGAACGCGTACTCGTTCAGCGTGCCGTACTTGCCCGCCTCGGCCAGCGACACGTCCTTCAGCGCACCCATCTTGGGCTTCTGCGGCAAAAACGTGGGGGACATCGTTAGCGCGCTACACGTCTGTGTGTGAGGCGGCATTAGGTGGGTGGGTGGCCCGCTTAGGGGAGAAGACCTGGCTATGGTGTTAGAGGGAGGGTAGTCTGCTTAGGGGAAAAGACCTGGCCAGGGTGTTAGAAGGGTGGGTAGTCTGCTTAAGTAAGAGGATGCAGCCATGGTGTTAGAAGGGTGGGTAGTCTGCTTAAGTGAGAGGATGCAGCCATGGTGTTAGAGGGTGGGTAGTCTGCTTAAGTGAGAGGATGCAGCCATGGTGTTAGAGGGTGGGTAGTCTGATTAGGGGAGAAAATGCAACTATGGTCTTAGGAGGGTGGGTGGTCTGCTTAAAGGGGAGGATGCAGCCATGGTGTTAGGAGGTTGGGTGGTCGGCTTTGAGAGGATGCAGCCATGGTGTTAGGAGGGTGGGTGGTCGGCTTGGAGGAGAGGATGCAGCCATGGTGTTAGGAGGGTGGGTGGTCGGCTTGGAGAGAGGATGCAGCCATAGTGTTAGAAGTGTGGGTGGTCTGCTTTGAGAGGATGCAGCAGTTAAATTGATATATGATAGTAGGCTCTACGAAGAGAGAATATAGTCATGGTTTAAAAGAGTTGGTAGTCTCTATGGAAAAGGATCCAACCAGGATGCTAGAGGGAGGGTACTCTCTTTGGAGGAACTAAGAACCATGACCTTTATTAAATGCTATGTCTCTGTCTCGGTTCTAAATGACAGAGATTCAACTGGGCCTTCCAACAAGAAACATTCTCCTATAAATATGTCAGACATACACAAACAGTGCAGGTTCAGGGTAAAGTGGAAACTAAACAAAAACTTTAAGACTGAAGTTTAACTAAAAACAAAATCATGAAAAAAATGCAAAACAAAATTAGTACAAAAGTACAGCGTTCACAATGGTAAATTCTCAATAATTAGGCTGTACACGTCTTATCAAACGTGCACATGCAAACCTAAACTCACACCCACAGATTAGTGTCAAAACACATCGCTACTACTCAACCACGTACACTTGTGAATACAAGACCAACTCAAACGAGAAGTCAACTCCTTTCTCAGTACACTCTACTAGTGTCCGGTCAATACACGACAGCGCAAGTAGTCACGCAGAGTCATGAATCAAACCGCAAACGAACACTCCTGTCCGGACGGTCGAGGACACGCCGCGCCTCGTAGCCTCACCTTTGGTGGTGGACCGGTGCTGGTAGATGACCGGCGTATGTGCGAGCCACTCTTGCTCTTCAGGCTGCTGGAGCCGCTGGGCATCAGCGGTTTCTTCACGGTCGACGAGTGGTCGTTGCGCAGACCCGCCGTCTTGTTTTGCGTCAGCGAGCCAAACTGTGCGCAGCAAAAAAAAACAAACGAAACAAAAAAAAGTCGTCAGCAAATCGCACACAGATCGCGCACGCTTCGTATCTTTTTATGCGAACAGTATATGTACCGACTATGTACAAACTGTGCACTCATAGAAAACTTTACGCTTACACGCAACGAAAACGGTTACACTACACTTTCAGAACTTTTCGATTGGTGTAAGACTACATCCAAGTCCTACGTGATACTCGGCAGCTTATGTAAAAACCAAACGTGACACACAACATCAAGAGCAATCAAGCATTCTATACTTCTACTACTGAAGTTAGAGGTAAGCACGATTAAACCGAAATGTGCCCATTTACACACCGTATAGTTCTAACATCTTTCCTGGTCATGCTCTGCACAAAAGACACTAACAAGGCCCAGAATAAAATCACACCTTACACAGACCGTCACAAAACGGAACCTAAAGGTCACAGACAAAAACTTATTAATATTAATTATTAATATTTATTAAATTAATCATATACTGCACACACAGTAGTAAGAGGATAACTATTAGTATAGAGCAGTAAGAGGAAGATGCACTCTCTCTCACACCACATCAAGAACTGAAGGTCACGCAGATGCTAACAAGCACAGATGCTAACGAGAGTGAGGTCAGAGAACGACCACACGGTGACGTGCGGGTCGCGCGTGACGTACCAGGCCGGTTGACGTGCCGTTGGCGTCGGGGAGAAACTGTCCAAACTCGTCCAGCAGATCCTCCTGGTTCTCAAACAGCTTCGCCACCTGCTGATACACCTCCTGCTCTGTCAGAGGCTGAGACCCGGGACTGCTGAGCCCCTACAGGAAAACACGGGGATTAGAAGGCCAGTGTTTCTTTCCCACCAACCAGGTCAGGGGTTATTAGCTGTCTAGCAAGACGACTAGCTATCCTCCTAATCTAGTAGCTAAACTGATTAACAACATAAGAGCACACACATTAAACAACATGTATGTGCGTCTGGCTACCGTTATTAGGCAGCCAAATCTAAAATTGACGGCATAATAGCCCTGGATATTTATCCAATGGGCATTTCGAATTCTTAAAAGAATCTAAACACAATAATAGCGAATAAACCCTCCATATGGTGTATATATATATAACAAACCACCTTCCTAAGAAAACAGGCACACTTAAATTTCTGTTTGTGGGAAGCACTAGCTAATGAGTAGCAATCATGATTACCTTGTAGGATGCACAGTACTGTAACCTAATTTACTTTACAATAGCCAACTTAATTTAGTATCAACTGAAACATCACTGTAATTCAAAGTAACAACTGTACCTCTTTAAGATTTCGCTGCTCCTTCTGGTACGTATGTAATATCTCAAGGAAGGCCTTATACACATCCGGCTGCCCTTGGAATCGATTCTAAAACACAACAAATATCACAAAAATGTAAAAACATTTTCACAAAATTACATATCTTGGATTAACTAACATATTTTCACTTAAAAAAAAACCCAGATACGCAGCAAACGACACCGCGATCTTTGTGATTACGAATAACGCGTGCACCTTTATCTTGTTCACGTAGTTGATCGCGTGGTTGAACTCCACCGGCTGGCTTCCGAGAGGCATGGCGTTTGAGGCTGCCGATTGGGTGGGCGGGGGCGGCGGCTCGGGGGCGTGGTACGAGTGTTGAGACGTGGCTCCGCGCGGCGAGCCGTGTGTGCTCCCCCCGTTCGCAGCCGCGGCCGCAGCAGCCGCCGCCTAAAGAAGAAACCGACAGTCAGTACACCGTCGACTAGACACAACAGTCGTTCGAAACGGACCTTTTCACCCGGACGTTACCCTCGGGGAAACCTTTGTGACGTCAGACAGATCTCGGCAGGCACGAATAATCGTTATGCTATTTACCCCAACGGTGGAAAGGTGGGTTCCTTTAAGGCTTTCAGCAGTAGATTTTGTCCACTTAGAAATATCTGGACAAAAACTCGTAACGTTCAGCAAATATCTGAATGAAAAACCCCACATATTCCAAAAGGAATTCTCTAAACCATTTCCATGAAATCAATCAATAAGCGACCACAAAATAGAACACGGAAATGAGGTTTTTATCAAAGGACTGACAAAAATCAAAGACTGTATTTCAAATGAATGTGAAGTCTATTAAATGCCATGAACAATGCAATAGAAAGTTTGTTATAAACAGACACTGCACATCGGTTATACATAAAAACAGTGATTATACATAACATCAACAATTATACATGTTACTACTTTAAGACAATTTTCAAGGTCTACACTACAACTAACAAAGTTATTCATTTTCTTTCACCTTTCGATTAAATGTCAGCTGGCCATGTCAGATAATTTTAAAATTAGTGCTAGCATGGTATCTCTTATTTAACACATTTTTAATTAGTGAATGCAATTTTCACTGGCAAGCTCCCAATGCACAATATTTTTATCATTGTTCCACCAGCCATATATGCCAGCACTCATACTTTAAAATTTAATATCCACTAAAGATACAATGTCATGTAACCTATAAAATAATGGTTACGACTAAACTGATTCATTTTCCTTCAAAATTTCATTCCATTCTCATGGTTTCTATTTGCCAACTTAATTTAATCTAGCTCCAAGGACGGATGAAACACTCAACTACAACAGTTTTGTGCGATGTATTTGACTGCTAGCTAGGTGGCAATAGCCAATGGGAATATGAAGGGCATTTGAATAACACCAAACACACATTCTATGACACATACCTTTGCTGCTGCGGCTGCATTTGCTGCATTCAGTTGGACAGTGGCTAGTGGTTGCGCAGCCAATGTGGGCATGCTTACACTAATCTGTGTTGGATCATTGGCCTGCACCTCAATCTTGTAGCCAGGTGGGAGGAAAGTGTTGAATCCAACTATGAGATCGGGATGCCCACTGAACAAGCTGGACACTCTTGCAATCACCCCAGGTGTGTCAATGCTGCAAGAAAAATGACAGAGCTCCATCTATATGCACATACTTGTGTATGTGTGTGTGTGTATATATATATTATTGCTTTATACTTATTCATAATCCTACTAGTAAGCTCATATAAAAATGTGAACTAATGCATTTAATCACACATTAGAGAACATCCACCACTGCACGTACGCCTGAGACTTGAATTCTTTCATAATATCCAGGAAATCATTGTAGACTTGTGGCTGATTTCCAAATTGTAGTTTCACTTGGTCCAGGTATGAAAGCGCATCTTCGACCTTCAAGCGCTGAAACGTCTGCTGTCCACTACCGACTTGGGGCTGTGCAAAAAGCATCTATCCAATGGTTTTTTAATGCTTCACGAAAGCTTGAATAGGTTTTTATACGATTTGTATATTTAATGAATTTATGTCTCATCATAAAACAGGTTATGAATTGTTAAAAGACGTTTCTATTCATGTCTCACAAACAACAGACTCACACATCTTTATACTTTTACTACGACAATAGTAAATACACTTGTAACTGTGGCGCAAGAAGGTGCACGCGTGACTAAACTGAACTCAAATGACATTCACAGCATTTCTTTTCTCTCAGCTTATAGTTGACCGAAGACAATAGATGATGAACAACGTCAACCATGATTATTGTATAATAACACAACGCACTTTCACGGTGTGAACTAAGATGAGCAGGAAAACGCAATTATAATGGCAACATTACCCATTGATAACTTTGTGAAAGGCCTCAAATTACCTGGGTAAAGTGGATACTGTGCGTAGTCTGTTGGGTTGCAGGTGGCGGAGTATGATGTGGTGATGGATGGAACACCGAGGTTGGCCCCTGATTAGCTTGACTGGGGATACTAAATAAAACAAAAACACCCTGTTATTAGATATGCATCCTGCTAAACCTAACATGATCCTTGGAATTCCTTCTTAAAGTAACTAATTATCAAATCATGTAACAGTTTTGTGTACGTACTGATAAATATTGGTAATATCACATGTCAATAATAATTTGACACCTCAAAACAGTCAAAAACACAAGTATCCAAATTGTGCAACCATTAAAATTTCAATGCACGACACCACCAAACAGCCACGTAAGCATTTTTTGTGTACAGACCAATGCATACATGTGCTGCTAATGGCATACATTTGCTAAAGTAATAATTTTGTAGAAAAGTTTTGGTTAAATAGACAAATTTTCCCACTGAAAATAACTTTGGAAGTAAATGTCATTATGGTGTAGTGCTAGTTGTAACTGGAAAAGGGGGGCAAGATTTACAAGGCAGATGGACAGCATTTTGTACATTCCAGGCACAAACCCTGAGGACATGACAATTAGTCAAATCTATAAAAAATGAGTTTCTATTACTGTGAATTCCATGTACATGTGATCATAGCACAATGTTCTGACCTCAACTCCTGTTCTTGAACGAAAATATTACTACACATATATATAGTCCATGGTTTTAAGTCTATAACTGGCTCAATCTGTACAAATTTTTATGATTACATAATCACCAACCTTTTACTTAACAGTGACATTGACGGTGATGCAAACCATAATCCAACAATATAGAGAAGACTGAGCGTAACACTACCTACACCTAACACTATTAAAATTGAAAGACAGCTAGAAAGAATTCCAGCCGGGATTTAGACACTATATAAAATTTACTTACGGGAAGCCAGCGAAAGGCATAGAACTGGCCATCTTGTTCTCGGTATACTGTGATGATATGGGCTGTGCTAGTCTTTGGGGCAAATTAGGAGAGGTTTGCAGGTTCACCTGCCCCTCTCCTTCACCAGTGTGCTGCTGTGGCTGGTAGCCAACTACTGTCTGCTGCAAAATATCACACAAACTGCTACAATTATGCTCGTCTAACATCGTGCAAAAGTCACAATTTCTCATGTCCTATTTATTAATTGGTAACATTAAATTCTGTTCAGACCACACCATATGTGCATGATTATACTTGCATGATTATACTAACGTGTTAACACCTAATAATTTGACAAGGACATGATAACATCTATTAAAGTTTCAATGGATATAGCATAATAGTTAATAACACAATGTGCAGATTCATTCGAACTTACCTCTTGAGCTTCAATATGATGTTGCATCATCTAGTCATTCGTGTAAGCTTGGATCCGACCAATTCGGACCAGTTTATGTTAAGGTCACCTATTCTCCGTCTAAAGAAAGCATGCAGTGATATAGTTATATTGTACCTTATTACATTACTGGGTGCAAATCTGACCTAAAATAGATGGTAAATCTTGTAGACAGTGGGCAATGCTCAGTCTAAATAGGTTGTAATCAACTCCTTCTAATTTTACAATAAACATAGCAAATTGCAAACAGCGATACTCAAATGCTATAATGCATATAGGCAGTAAAGTGTAAACATCATACGGCTAAAATCTAGATTTACTAGGTTAAGGTTTTCAGAATATAGAACAGTTGTGACTGTTGGAAGCAACAAGGACAGTTACTGCTGGAATCTACAAGTCAGTGAGTATATACCTAATAGTTTTAAACTACCCTAACTTTACAAAGTTGCATAATTTAACAAAATCCAAACACCAACTCAGGGTTCTCCAAGAGCACTTATAGCCTGGCGGCCCGCCAGGTTATCGTCGAGCCCCGCCATCCTAAAATGCACCCGCCACTCTAAATATCATAGCCGCCATGCTAAAATTAGCTAAAAAATGCTAAAACTAAGACCGTAAAAGCAGCCCCGCCATGCTATAATGAAAAAGCTTGGAGAACCCTGCAACTACTTCCCTGGAATACCAACATGAGTTATTATTATTGTGAAGACATATATATGCACAATTACTCACTACTTTTATATTTAATGATATGATTTTAAACAATAAATACCTATAGCCAGTAAACAAATATTTAAATTTAGTAACGTAAAATTTAATTTAGTTCACAAATACTGTGGACTTGTGTATTGAACGGAGCAATGAATTCAGGAAACAAATCCCGTTTGTTTTGGTTGTTAATTATACAAACAATGGACAATATGACAGCATCATTATAAGTACTGTAGTATGTTTGTGAACACTGAATAATGAATATCTAATTCATGAACAACAGCGAAATTTAAAACGATATTCAATAATATAACAGAAGATTTGTGCTTCTGAGTTCTACAAGTTTATGGTGATCTGTATACAATAATAATAGCTAAAGCTTGGATACGATGAACTTGATAACCATGAACTCAGACAATCTTATTCGTGCAATTGTGAAGTGACAGACACTGATATATATACACGACAAGATTAAAGTTAATATAAAAATTAATTGATTAACATGAGCAGTCATGAGCACCGCAAGTAATAACCTCAACAAGGGTTGGTTCTGCTCAACAAACTGGCGAGCGTACACGCTGTACCAAACAACATCATGGCGCCTGGCACACTGCGACCTGAAATGTTGTTGAATGGACGCGACCAAAAAATGGTACGTTCCAAAACACTTGTACATTTGGCTGTGCTCGAACGACAACAAATATTGTTATAAACAGAAATCCCATGTATCCGTTTGAAGTTAGTTTTAGTGTACCATGGACAACATAATCAACGACAATCTGTGCAAACTGTATGATCCAGCTTTGTGACAAAATCACAACGAAAATACCAACACAACCCGCCCACCCCTGTCTGCGTCTTCAGCACAAAACAAACAAAACCCGCACTTTATACGTGCTATTCAAGTTATTTACAGCTTAACGTGGGCAAAATATGCGAAAGATCGATCATGAAAATAACATGCGAGACACAATTCGACGTTATTATCTATATCTCAAGTTTTATCCGTGAAATTAGACGAGCAGAATCGCGCCTTTCTGAACGCTTGTTAGCCGCTCCAATCTACAACCCGCCACCCCTCTATTCACGAACACGGCAACCCGTCGGTTTAAACAGACATGCATTGATACATTTATACGCTTTCCCTTACTACGAGACTCCGTATGCTCATGTTTACAAAACAGAAATTCAGTAAGTCACAATTACACTGAAATAGTATATTTAATAGAAATCCAAGTAGATCACAGTTGCGCATTTTGAGTAGGATGAAAGGATGTTCTGACTGACGGCGACGTCGCCGTTCACCGCCAAGCAGTTTTCTATTCCAGCTCAAATATTGCACTATTTCCTAAATAGTTAAGAGTCTTACATCGACTAGTCGTACACTGTAAATGTAGCAACCATAAGGTGCACATAACGTAAAACCTCTGGCTTGATTTTGTAAATAATCGTTGGTAAATTATACACACCTTGAAAAATCAGATGATCGGTCTGCCAGTGAAGGCACCGCAATTCAAATCAATAATACGCAATAATCAGACGATCCAAAATTTTCAAACTTCACCAACTATAAAAGCAATGTCATCTAAACAAAAATGTATGTGCTCACCTTCACAAGTCCACAGATGCCGACGATTATCTAAGATATTTCAAACGGTTGGCATAAACATACCACCTACACTTCACTGACAACATTTTAGTTTTCGTGACGTCACTATGTTTAGCAAGCTGTAACCAATCATAATCCATTTTTGGATTTCTAAATTTTCGCGGGGACCGCCCATTTCCGGGACGAAGCGACATCTTTAGCTAAATCACGAAAGCGTTTTAATAAATTTATTCATGTACCTTGTTTATTCCACTGGTTGTGTTATCAAAAATTCTCTTATCCATTTTTAATTATAGAAATAAATAATGTATATTGACATGTAAGGATGTCCACTGAATGTAGTGCTTCTAGCGTGAATAGACTGCAAATACTACTTGAAATAGCCATGCTTGGAAGGGAAATGACAATAATCAGTACATGATCTTTGATATGATGCAATATCTAATAGAAGTACCGGTATACTATTGATTCAGTCTTTTAATATAAATTCAAACACGTAATATCACCACAGACTGAACACATATTATCGCTTATTGTCAACTATTTATATTTACAAAAATTTGCATTTAGTGACAATTTAAAAGATTTGGTAGGGCCTAATATAATATTATTATTAATAACAAATATACCTCAAATCTCAAAATGTCGCCAAAAATTTGGTCTTGAAAATATAGCTTAACTAATACAATTTTACTTGCAACATGTATAGTTATTATACATTAGATATGCATAATTATATTTAATATTATATATTAAGTTATCAGCCTGCGTAATTAGGTGTTGAAGTTGATGAAATGCTCCATGCACCAAGAAACACTGAAAACAGTTTGTCATGAAAAATAATAATGATTTCGCACATCAGTTATCATGCACACACAAGGGACTGGTAAAATAGAAACCTCATTGTTTGTTTTTCACAAATAATTATTTCATAAATTTACCTGATTATCTGATTATTTCTATTTACTCTAAAGGAAAGTTTACAGCATTGTTCACTATTTAAATGAACAATTCCCCCCTATTCTAAGCATCAGATAATGTATGCAGACTAGGTAATTTGGATACCATATCAACCAGTAGTTATGTGCATAATAATTTAAAAGGCGAAGAACGGTTAGACTACATATGCAACAACATATACACACAACGAAAATGATGTTCAACGAAATTCTTTTTCCTCCCACCAGTAAATATAACAACTGAAATAAAAATATGGGTACGAGGGATTTGTACATGTTGTTTAAACACTTACTGCCAGATCTGTTAAATAACTATGGCAATACGGACAGTTTGACATTGAGCTGCTTAGCTCTGGTAGAAGATGACAAGAATAGTAAAATGATATGGCCAGGGTTCTCCCAGGATGAAATTCAAACAGGGGGGAGGGGAGGGGAAGGGGGAGGGGGGAGAGGGAAACTAGGAGGGGAAGGGGGGGGGCGTGGTTTTTTACCGTACCACTAATTAATGCGTAAAATCGCCACCACACCATAGACGGTATTTGGGGTTCTTGTATATATAAGATAG